ACTTGCTTTGGTCCGGACCAAATACAATGTTGATTATTTTTGTTTGGTGCGGTTCACTTTCACATTGCCCTTTTAGCAAGTAAACCAGAAACTGTAAACCACTCGTGTGCTCAAAGTCATCCATTCATTGGTTCATTCATTCAACCGTACCAGAGTTCGTTTGGAAGTGGACCGAGACCACCTCTTCAGCTGGGTTTCGGTATGGTTGTTTGGTGCACATCAGAGTGCGATTGCTGTATTCACACCTGCCCAAAAGATCCGCACCAAAGGGGGAAACGAACTTGAGTTCGATTCAATCGAACCAAACAAGACAGGTGTGAATGCACCCTTAGTGGGCATAAGAGACTTCTATCAAAAACATTACAATCTTACTGACCCCAAACTTGAATAAAAGTGTACATGTAAAATTTTAGATTAGAATAGACAACAGGTTTAAAACATGCAGGCAAATCTGTGAAGCATACCTCTACAAGTATCTCTCGATTGACCAGCACACAGTTCTCATCAGGAAATGTGTCGCACAGGAGATCGAAGGCAGCCATACTCTCCCTGAAATGACATATATTATCCATTTAAATTTAATACCATGTGTTGTGCAAATTTAATATGTGCACTACAGGTTTAGCAACTATTCATGTCAGGATCAGAAAACACTACCTGCTGATTGCCGCCCAGGTTTTCTTTAGCCGGTAAACAGCATTGCACTGAAGAGCAGATAAGATGGCTCTCAGAGAGGAGAAGTTTCTCAACTGACGGCACTCCTGTAATCCAAAAAATAATAACTAAATATAATGCCTTGTGTTTAAGAAGAGGAAAGAAATATTAACTTCACAAATTTACACTGGATCAAATATGTAACAACACAAAGTGATAAGGAAATCTGGTTACACTTTACTTGAAGGGGTGTGCATAAGACTGACATGACTCCTTCATAATCATGACATGACACCTACATAATCATGACATGACATGTCATGACTATGAAGGTTTTTTATGCATGTTTATGACAACTGTCATTAAGTGTCATTCGCTCAGTTATGTAATTTTTAATGCAAAGATGACATTGTTTGAGATGTCTTTGTTACGGGCTATGGTTAGGGGTAAGGGTAGGGGTAGGGTTAGGTTAGGTTTAGGTCAAATAATGTCATATTTGCATTAAAAATGACATAACTGAGCGAATGACACTTAATGACAGTTGTCATAAACATGCATAAAACCTTCTTCATATTCATGACATGTGTCATGTCATGATTATGAAGGTGTCATGTCAGTCTTATGCACACCCCTTCAAGTAAAGTGTTACCGGAAATCTTTAAACATCTGTACCATTAAAACTGATAATAATAGTTAGACAAATGTCAACAGTGTAATTATCTTAATTTGCTCCGCAAAATTGTTTGCAAAATGTTGCTCTGTCACAACAGTAATTGACCTGAAAAATTAAACTTGAGCAGAGTATTCCGTCTATTATAGTGCTCCTTGTGGCCATGCTGAGCCACTGCACAAGTGCAACACGTACTTCCATTACGAATTGTGCTCTGACATATTTCAGAATCAAATTTGCATTCACATACTTGCCTATAGTATGTTTCGGGCCTCATACACACCTGAGCTACAGAGATCCACTTCTCAATAATCTTTGCCCTGTGTGTAGGGCCGCTACGAGTGCAGGATGGGGAACCGGGAGGGGATGTGGAAGAAGGGCACAGCAGAGAGGTGATAACGCAGTTAGTGACGGCATTGAACTGGGCAATGGTGGCACGAACCGTGGGTGCTAGATTCCGATTCTCTTTCTTGTCCCTTTGAGACCAAATGCAGCCAAGGCAGTGAAAAGGAACCACTTTGACAAAGAGTTCCTGAGAAAGAAATGGAAGCAGATGAATAAAAGTAGGCCATAAATAAAAGCCAGCTTCAGTATTTAAATCTTGACACCTACAGCATCTAAGAGCGTGAGCTGCTCAGCAATGTCTCGTGCAGGGAAGCCCAGTACATCCCCCATCTCTTCTATGTCCTGTCTGTCCGTGATGTCTTCAGTTGCCCGATTCTCTACAGCAGCTGTGCTGGCTTCTGCTGATGTACCTGTGTGTTTGTCTGTTATTTAGCGTTGATTTTTTTTTGGTGTGTGTGCATAAAAGCTAAATTAGCCATATTTCAAGACTTGCCTTCAGTCTGAAATTTTCTGAGAAGAGCATCGGCTTGATGAACCAGACATCTGAAACAAAGGCGATGATGCAGATGAGCACAGAGCAGCCGAAGAGCCTGGTGATCTGGAGAGTCCCGAAGGTCCTCTTGATACTCGTCTAACCACAGCCGGATCAGACATGGCATAGAACTGAGCACACACACACACACACACACGCATTGTATTGGAGTAATTAATGAAGCTCTTGGAATTAGAATGAATAATCAAGATGAATAACCAGTTTAATTTTACTAAAAATGGATAATGATTGCACTGGGCAACCAGTTTCAATTTAAAGTTTATAAAACAATATTTGACCACAGAATATCACAATTGACCAATCAGAATCAAATATTGCTGGACATTCCTAAACATGTGAATTCAACTCACCTACTAAAACAGACACTGTTGTCCAGATTGGTGACCATGTCCTCTCTACAGAGGCAAATAAATAAGTCTAAATTTAATATTCAAAACATTCCTAAAACCATTCAAAAGAAGTTTTAGGATTATGAACATTGTAACAATTTCGGACACAAATGTGAAACAAGTGATCTTTTGAGGCCTATTACCTTTATTTATGTTTAAACAAAACACAAAGGACTCTCGCGGTTCAACAAAAGCGCCTCTGACGTGAGACAAGTCAAGTGAAACCTGTTCAACAGTGTGAGGTGTTCTCCTCCATTCCACTGCGTCACTGATTTGTATAATATGATAATGGACTGTCATAATTCAACAGGAATAAAAGATGTCTCTGGGAAATACTCTGCCTCATACTGAATTTAGAAACTTGGGCTTCCCCCCTCATTTGATTATTCACAATCCCTGAGCCTTGTAGAATGTATGTCATGTAAATTCCCTCATATTTAAATACATGTGGGATAGCTGTGTCTGAATTGGAAATCAATGACTTTATGAAGGTACCTCCAAAGGAAACAGGCCTGCAATGCACATAACATCATGTCTAATGTGCTAAGACATTAAAAATTTGCCATTTTTATTCTTTCCACCAACAGATAAGGCATATGTTTGTGGTATATCACCAGATGAAGGTATGATGGAATGTTATGGAAACATTACATTCAGAGGTACCTTGATGCCACCCTTCCTGCATTCAGGTTTTGGAAACAGCCCATATCAGTTATAAATGTCACTGACGCACAATAAAAAAAACATGACTAACTACAGTTGTTATATAAAAATGTTTGGTTAATTCCTCACAATTGTAATTGTATTAGATGGAACACAAGTGGATTACTTTTTGGTTCTTATCGGAGCATGACAGCCCAAGCTGCTGTTGACTTTTACTGTATGGAAAACAGAAGCTTAAACATTCTGCTAAACATGTATTTTTGTGGGGGGAAAAATGTATTATTGTTTGGGTAGACTATACTTCTAAATTATAATATATATTATATATATATATATATATATAGGCTCACCAAGGCTGCATTTATTTATTTGATCAAAAATACAGTAAAAATTGTCATATTGTAAAATATTATTACAATTTAAATATTTAGAATATTACAATTTGGAATATATTTAGAATATATTTTAAAATGTAATTTATTCCTGTGAAACAAAGTTGTATTTTCAGCATCCTTACACCAGTCTTTAGTGTAACATGATCCTTCAGAAATCCTTCTAATATGCTGATTTGGTGCTTAATATTTTTGTGGAAACCATGATAATTTTTTTCAGGATTCCCTGATGAGAACATTCTGAAAGGACATTCAGAATAACAGCATTTATTAGCTAGAAATCTTTTGTAACATTATAAATGTCTTTATAAATGTCTTTACTGACACTTTTGATCAATTTTATGCATCCTTGTTGAATACAAGTATTAGTTTACTTTAAAAAAATCTTAGTGACGCCAAACTTTTAAACAGTAAATGTTAGCTTAATGTCCCTATAACCCTCTGAGACAGCAATTAACACCAACTGAGCATTTGTGCTAACCTTTGAAACAGGAGTTCTATGAAAGCATTTGTGCAGGTAAAGGCTCTGTAGGTGGAGAGGAATATTTGCATGTAGTCTGGGTCAGGGCACTCCGGGTTCACCAATTCTGTGACAAGACGCTCCAGAGTGGCTGCTTTAAGCCTGCGGACCTTCAGTGTGCGGTACTGCATGAAGCCGAAGGCAGAAGAGTTCTCAGCAGCATCAGGTGGGGGCTGGATAGGTTCTCGGTGAAGAGTGACCCCATAAATGGCACCGTCTTCCACCTCCTCTCCCCACTCCTGCACCGGGTCCTAGACAAATACATCATCAGGCTTTACATGTTGAATTTGCAGCTGACTAAAGGAAAAATATGCACACATTGAACCTACTGTAAAGCTTGATATGATGCCTATTGTAGCACTATTAAACAAACACAGTGCCATAAAGATTATATTTTACAGTCATGATTATACCGCAGCAGTTCATGAGATTTTTTTTGCAGTGGATTTGGCTTCTGAACTGCACTGAGGTAGGTCTTCAACTTCCAAAAAAAAAAAAAAAAAACAATACCTGCAAGGCACTGACCTAACATTTCACTTTCCAGGAAGAAATATACAAAACAGGAGTTTTGCAAAATACAGGCAAATTGTTATCCAAATTATAAGTCAAGAGGAGTGAATACATTTGATCTTCACTGGCTTGAGAAGACAATACATTGTACATTACATTTATGTTCTTAGCAGATGCTTTTTCAACAAAATCATGTACAATACAGAGTTAAAATCATGTTATAAGCAAATACACCAAACATTTTTACAGTACTAAAAATAATAACACCACTGTTTAATGATGCCCACACAAGAAGACCTTTCATTTTCATTTTAAGGAAAGAAGAGAAATCATTTAAGGTCTTTCATGGTGGAAAACCATAACTAGCTGACACCAAAAATACTAAGTAATTTCTTTACAAAAATCCTCTTTGGTGGTAAAATGAACCCATGATTATTTGCATAGCAAATATCATACCCACAATGAATAACAGCTGTGGGCGAACAAAAAAAACCCTGATGATTTTAAACAAAGACAGACTGTGTAACATACTGGAGTACATTAAGTCCAGTGTTTTCTCTACCAGGGAAAACACAGTTGTTTTTGTTGAGCTGGTTGTTGACTAATTCAGATGTGACCAATATTAGATGAGCTCATAACAACTGGCTTGAGGACATATTAGCATAATGGTGTCATCTATCACTGATTCTTGAACACGGGATATATGTCCTATAATGCTTTAAAAAACAACGTATTTTAACATTGTTTGCACGTTCAACGTATTCAAATAGCTATAAAATCACCTATCCTCATAACATAACTTAATGCTTCATGTAAAATAAAATAATTAGTTGTATATAAAATAATACACAACCATTCAGAAGCTTGAGGTCAGTTTTTTTTTAAGAAATTAATACTTTTATTCACCAAGGATGCATTACATTGATCAAAGGGCGACATTTATAATGTTACAAAAGTGTTGTTTCTAATAAATGCTGTTCTTTTGAACTTTCTATTGATCAAAGATTCATGAAAAAAAAAATCAGTTTCAACAAAAATATTAAATAGCACAATTTCAGGATCGATAATAATAAGAAATATTTCTTGAGCACCAATTCAGTATATTGGAATGATTTCTGAAGGATCATGTGGCACTGAAGACTGCAGTAATGTTGCTGAAAATTCAGCTTTACCATTACAGGAATAAATTACAATTTAAATTATACAGTATTAGAATAGACAGCAGTTTTTATAAACTGTAATAATATTTAACAACATTGCGGTTGTACTGTATTCTTTTCACGATCATTATTTTGTGTATTTGGTGTAACAGAATATGTTGACATGCTTTAATGTTCAAAAAACACATTATTTTTCAAATACTGTACATTATTGTAGGTCCTCGCTTCATTTTCTACAAAGTCCCTCCTTCTGACAAGCGCAGTCTGCTCTGATTGGCCAGCTGACCCAGTGCAGATTGTGATTGGTCGAACACCGCAAGCACTTGTCGGAAATGTAACGCCCCTTACCATAATCGCGAGCTTCATCTTTCAAAATAAATGTAAAGACAGTATTGTCATTAGTTTTACCATCAGTTCAAGCCCGAAAGGGGAACAGAGCCGCGTGACAGACACAGTGATGAAGCTGGTATGTGTTTGCAGTACACAAGACAGCTGATTCCACTGTGATGTGACCCTTTCTCTCTCTCTCTCTCTCACACACACACACACACACACACACACACGATGCGCAAAACTCCGCATTTAAACAGTCAATAGCAAATACTTAAACTAATAACAAAACATACTTACAGTAGCTGATTCAGAAGCGCCAGATTGTCATAGCAAAGTCAGAATTACCTCCTCTCCTAGGTTCACGAAACGGTCGTCCATAAAATGCATTGCTGTTCTGTTGTAAGTAATCTTAAAGATTCCTAAATGCATCTACTTCCGGAAGGCCAAATAAAGTGCTTTTGCTTTCGCCTAGAAACACACAGCGTCTCCCCGACATGGCTGCTTCAACACTAACTGTGGTTACTGAAACCACGCCTTCTTTCTTTGCGTGAACATTTGGGCGGCATTATGCAAATATTTCCACATAGTGAGGTAGATATGTGGGGGCGTGTTAGAACGAGCCGTTTTAGGGGGGCGTGGCAGAGTCTTAACTTTGATAAAGAATATCTCTTTGGTTTTGAGACTTTAGTCTTTGCAACTTCAGGGATCTTATCTATGCAGAATCAGCTTGTAACACTCCAAAGAGAAAGGAAAACTTGAAAACGCATCATATGACACCTTTAAGATCATTTAGATAATTAGCTAATTTGCCTTATTTTAAGTGGGACCTATTAGTATAGCAACACCAGAAAATATGCTGCTGTATTAAATACATGTGTGACATGTAAAATATGTAAGCTGTCAAGTCAATCACTGCTGTGCCCTGTTTTGTTCTAAGCCTCAAGATTCACTGCTGTTCCAAAAGCTCAATGGATATCACAGAATATAGGCTACATACTATGCAAACCACACATTTGGAAAGGTTTGCGCTTCCAAGTAAACCAAGGGCAGTCTATTCCTCTAACAAATCAATTGCTGTGAAAATCACAAGTGCATTCTTCCCAGAAACTCCAGTCAAGCAAAACAGAGAGCTTTCCAAGCCAAAGCCCTGTGTCTCCTTCAAAACTGTGCCATGGAACAAAACACAGGGAATGATGGGGGAAGGGAAAGCTGAAACTATCACAGGTCAGCTGTGAAACGGGACACTGTAAATATATTCAATCTCCAGGTGGGTCTGAGAACAAACACAAGATCGCTTCTATTGTGAGACTCCTGAGGGAAAAGTGAAGCGCACCGCACCCTACCCTGAGCACGCATCACATGTAACACTTCAACGCGTTCCTAAAGCCAATATCACGTCTAATTGTAAAAACATTGAGCTTTTGTGACAGTACTGAGGTGTCCGGGAAAAAAAAGAACAGGATATACTGCATTTTCTCTGGCATTAACGTGAAGAGAAACACTAATGCGCCGCGCGACACACTGTACAACAACAAATCGCGTTTCCAGATCTAATGATACAAAGTTATTTTTCTCTAGTCATTCTAATTTTTAAACTAATATTAAATAGAATTAATGCCCTTGATGAAAATAATCTAATTAAGTAAGCGACTTACCATTGTGAACTCCCATTTTGCCATGTTTTCAGCTCTTTATTTCTTCAGCCGTATAATCAATGATCAAGTAGTATACTTTCCATTAGCACAGCAAAAAAAAAAACGTATAAACTTTATTTCTTAGTCAGCTAGTGTCACACTTGACTGCCATGTCTAGAGAGCTGGTGGAAATGTATAGCTTTGCGAAGTGAGGTTTAATTAAGAACTCCAGTGAAGATAAAGTCAACTTACTGTACGTTTCATACAGTACTACCATTACTGTCATCAAATATATTATGCTTTAAAGGAAAATGAAATCCGTGACCGAAGAAAATTATTATATTTACGGTTATGTCTGTGTTTTAGCTGTCTATGTAGCACAGCGCACCTGTCAAGCGCTTTAAACTGCAGTGGGTTGGACAATTACGTCTAGTATGACGTACGGGGCGCGCTCATTAATATTAATTACGTTGCGTGGAACGCCTCAGGTAGTTTACCAAGCAACTTCGCATTGCTAATTAATATTCATGACCTAAGCCTTAGGTATAGTAGGAGTCACAATGTCAAGTGTGGAAGTATGGAAATCCACATTACTTCATTTTAAATTGAAAATGAAGATTATGATTGAAATATTTTATTTTACCATGTAATTCTGAGATTTCTTGGTATGAGAATTTGGGCAAAATACAAGACTTAAAAGGATACAATTGATAATTTACCATAAAATTGATAATTTACAGTTTTTACCCCACGCTCACAGAGACACTACAACATAACAATAAGTGAGGCACACTACTGAACTCTTATCGAGAGACCACGGCCATCACGATAAAAGTATTTATCTATATCCTCTAACAATACCACTCATTACTAAGACAGAGGTCATATGCTGGTGTGTGTGCATTCACACACTCAAACAAACAGCACTTTTACTTCATTTTAAATTAATAAATTAAATTAAATTACTTCATTACACCATCAAATTCACTGGTGCAACAAAGTCTTAATGCCGGGTAGAATAGCTAACACACACACACACACACACACACACACACACACACACACACACACACACAATGTTAAAATACTTTTCATTGTTGACATGCTTAGTAACATCTTGTCAGGTAATAACTCTGGTAGTAGATACATTTAAACATTTAAACAATTTTTAACCATTCAGGGTGATACCTAAACCCCCATTGCTCCTTACTTTTTATTTTTGGTTTATTTTATTTTATTTATGACAACAACAACAACAACATACACTAATGCTCACATTTTTGGGGGGTCAGTAAAATTTTAATTAATGATTAATGTTTTTTAAGACATTTATTTGATCAAAATATGGTAAAACAGTAATATTGTGAAATATTATTACAATTTAAAATAACTTTTCTATGTGAATATATTTAAAATGTAATTTATTCCTGTGACGCAAAACTGAATTTTCAGCTTCATTGCGCCAGTCTTCAGTGTCACATGATCCTTCAGAGATAATTCTTATATGCTGATTTGCTCAAGAAACATTTCTTATTATCATCAATGTTAAAAACAGTTGTGCTACTTACTATTTTTGTGGAAACCGTGATACATTTTATCAAGATTATCAAAATAGGAATCTTTTGTAACATTATAAATGTCCTCACTGTCACTTTTGATCAATTTAATGTGTTCTTGCTTAATAAAGGTATTAATTTCATTAAAAAAAAAACAATTTAGAAAAAGTTTAAATTCAACAAAAGTGAGCCTGACGAAAATTGATGCATGAATTACCTCAGGAATATTTTTCATATATTACAATCAACAAATACATCAGAGGTTTAGAAGGGATGGATATACTCTTGGAGATTTACTGTTCTTCTGTCTAAGCTCAATTCTAGCCAGCTCTGAATCTTTATCATTTATACAGCTTATTTGTAAGCTGCTTTGCATTAAAGAGCATACTAAATGAATAAATGCAAATGTAATTGTCAATAGATTTTCATCAGCACTGACCTCACTGCATTCCTCAAGGTCCAGCAGATGGAAGCTCCTGAGCCAAACGCCAGGCTCCTCGTCCATCTGCACATCCACATGATGCCCAGTCTGGCACAGCAGTTGCCTCATTCGTCCAAGTCGTGCCCGCAGACCCTTATCTCCACCAGACACCACCAGAGAGGACCTCATCCTCCACCCGAATCACACACCAACTTCCTCCAAGAGCAGCAGATACTTGTCAGGCATGTTATTCGGCTTCAACAAGCATTCAATAACAGAAGTGTGTAGCTTCTACTTTTATTAGCAAATTAACTAACTAATACCTAACTAACTAAATAAATATATATATATTTTTAAAATTTTTAAATTCCTCTTAATTCAGTAAAACTACCTATAATTTAATGATCTAGGAAGTTTACTTTCTAGGAGAGACTACTCAATTAAAAGTTTTATTTAATTTGATTCAACTTCTTCCAAGATCAGCAGATACATGTCAGGCATATTATACAGCTTCATCGTGCATTCAGCAGTGTTATTTAGTATCACTGAGATATTATTATAGATTTTATTAATATTTTGATGTTTTTATTTTTGTTTTAATTTGAATACTTTCTTTACTTAATTTTAGTTTTTTTTTTATATATATAATTTTATGTAGTTTTTGTTTAGTTCCCTTTCGAACGGTGACTCTACATTGTGAAACATTCACAGTGGGAACTCATCTCCTTCTCTGAAAATCCTGAAACCTTATAGGATAACGCCAGTACAATAAACTGGCCAGTTGTCGCTAATCATGCAAATCACATGCAAATACTGACAAGCCTGTGAGCAGTATATAATGCGGTGAGAGTGACAGTTGCCTCAGAATCTTCTCCTTCACGTTGCCATCGTCAAAGACGTTTTTGTTTTAATTTGAATACTTTCTTTACTTAATTTTAGTTTTTTTTTTATATATATAATTTTATGTAGTTTTTGTTTAGTTCCCTTTCGAACGGTGACTCTACATTGTGAAACATTCACAGTGGGAACTCATCTCCTTCTCTGAAAATCCTGAAACCTTATAGGATAACGCCAGTACAATAAACTGGCCAATTGTCGCTAATCATGCAAATCACATGCAAATACTGACAAGCCTGTGAGCAGTATATAATGCGGTGAGAGTGACAGTTGCCTCAGAATCTTCTCCTTCACGTTGCCATCGTCAAAGACGCACCAGAAGATATGACAGCTTCTTTACCACATCCGATGGCTACCTTTTGCCAAATTTGCGTGGGCCCCATCGACCCGGAGGACCTGCACGTGCACTGCATCGCCTGCCAGGACCTGGCCCATGCTGAGGCGGCGTTCTCTGAGTCCGACTGCGTGCTCCACTGACTTGCATAGCACGTGTTTTGAGGACTCGGAGGAGCATCACTGTCAGCAACCGAAGAGATTCGGCCTATGTGGAGCGCTATTCCAGGCATTTCACGCTGGGTGCTGAGCATTATAGAACACGGGTATTCCCTCCAGTTCAGACACAGACCTCTCCATTTCAATGGCGTGGTTCCGTAACTGACAATGCCTCAAAATGCCCCTGTTTTGAGACAGGAGGTTCACACACAGCCTTGCAATAGAGCGATAGAGGAAGTCCCTCCGAGCGAGCTGGAGAGGGGGTTTTATAGCCGCTATTTTGTGGTGCCCAAGAGAGATGGGGGACTCTGTCTGATTCTGGACCTGAGACCCATCAACAGAGCACTTCACAAGCGTGCATTTAGGATGACGACTCTGAAGCAGATCCTTCCACAAATCCATCCCGGGAACTGGTTTGCATTCGTAGATCTGAAAGATGCATACTTTCATATTCAGATAGTACCGTGCCACAAACGCTTTCTGAGGTTTGCTTTTGAGGGCACGGCATACCAGTACTCAGTGGTCCCATTCGGGCTTGCTTTAGATCTGCGCACGTTCTCAAAGTGCATAAATGCGGCGCTTTCCCCTCTCAGAGTGAGCGGTATGCGCATTCTAAACTATCTGGACGATTGGCTGACTTTAGCCCATTCACGAGATATGCTTATCAGTCATACGGATGCACTGCTTCGCCACCTGGAGTCCCTAGGGCTGCATGTGAATATGCAGAAGAGCATGTTCACCCTGAGCCCGCATCTCTCAAGAGCGCATAACAACCATTTCATCAGCTCTGCGCCTCTTCAAAACGGGCCGGTCTGTTCCCTTGAGGGAATTTCGGAGGCTTCTGGGACTTATGGTGTGGGCCTCATCAGTCTGCCACTTGGGTCTTCTGCACATGCGGCACAGTTGTGGCTGAAAACTCGAGTTCCGTGGAGAGCATGGACCACAGGTCGCATGCGCATCGTGGTCACACACAGCTGCGTCAGCGCTCTGAGACTGTGGCGTGACCCAGAAATGTTCAGCCGGGGGGTTCCCCTGGGACTGGTAGCAGCACGCACTGTGGTTACGACAGATGCGTCAACCTCAGGCTGGGGAGCAGTGTGCAGGGGTGTACCGACTTCAGGCCTGTGGTCAGAGTCTCAGAGCAGGTGGCACATAACCCGCTTGGAACTAAAAGTGGTGTCCTTAGCCTTAGTGGCTTTTCTGCCACAGCTGGAACAGTGACATGTGCTGATTCACAACAACAATATGTTTGTGGTTTCATACATACAGTGGGGCAAAAAAGTATTTAGTCAGCCACCAATTGTGCAAGTTCTCCCACTTAAAAAGATGAGAGAGGCCTGTAATTTTCATCATAGGTATACCTCAACTATGAGAGACAAAATGAGAAAAAAAAATCCAGAAAATCACATTGTAGGATTTTTAAAGAATTAATTGGTAAATTCCTCGGTAAAATAAGTATTTGGTCACCTACAAACAAGCAAGAGTTCTGGCTCTCACAGACCTGTAA